ATATGTATATATAAGCTTCTGACATGTCATAAGAAAAATATACCTGCATCATCTCCACTACCAGGGAAACGTCACGAATCCATTCTGTTCGATCCATCATCCAGCAAACACGTCGTTGGCGTATAAGCGGGAAAAATGATGCTATCGGCAAAAGGCATATTTCTTTTCTCTGCATTTCCACTCAAGCACTTTTTAACATTTCTTTTTTTAACTATTAGTCTTATATTTTTTATATTTTTTAACACATATAATTATATGCATGTTAAATATATAGTGATAAAAATCATAAAGTGATTAAAATATGCAAAGTTAAAATTCTGGAATACTGCGCAATTTTAATCAAAACAAAAGGTTTAGAAAAGAGTGAAAACGCTACTACTGTCACTATATACGCTAGTACGTAAAACTTTCGGATTTTCAAACGTTAAGCTCCGCTGTATAACGCATTGACTCAGATCAGAGGATAAAATAGGACAAAACTGAAAAAAAGCCATTTGTTTTCAACGTGATGGTGCAACAAAGAACACTTTGAATCGTATAAAGATGTTAATATGTCAATAGAGCTTTTTACAATGTCACGATCGGCAGATCTATTTATATGTTGAAAAAACTAAAAATATATATATAGTATATTTTCAAAAGAAATTCTATCAAAGAATTTGCTCCAATGGCTTCTAAAAATTTGCAAAATTTGAATTTGTCGATATTTTTGGTCATATAGTTTATTATTTCCTCCTTTTCAAATATTTTTTTAATACGTTTAAAAGCGCTTTTCTAAAAAATATTGCAGCGCATTAAAATTGATGAGACGGTAGTTATATCACTGCAGGCTAATTCATTTATTACGCTTCTCCGCTCACAGCTTCAATCTCGCCCAAATCCGCCAATTAATGAGAAAATTGCGAAGGCGTCTCCTTCGCGGTTGCTAAAAATACCGCTTCTCGCGCACTTCAGAGATTAACAAGGATATTACTGTTTTCCTTGGATAATTACCTCAAGTTTAACACGATGAGTTTGAGAGGAACAAGTTTCTATATGCAATAACATACTATGTTATTTTACAAGCGCTATTACATCTTTGTTTGCATGATCTGAAATCGAAGAAAAATGGATTTCAAAGTTACTCTAACAACAGAATGTAGGGAGAGAAATGCCAATAACCACTCACGATGCGCAAACTTATAATAGGAGAATAATGATATCTCCCTCAGGACATTTCCCGGAACTAGGAAAGTTATAGTCAAAATTCTAACAAGTCCGAGCGCTTATCGTCACTGATAAAATGTGCCATAATTGCGATACTCGAGATAGAGATAGAGAGAGAGAGAGAGAGAGAGAGAGAGAGAGAGAAAGAGAGAAAATGTGGAACAAGTCGAAAAGTCCTTGGGCTATTTGTGCGGTATTGATTATAAAGTGGGAAATTTAGTCTAGACTATTTTCAAGTTTTCCTACCGGCGGCGCCAGGCTAATTACTCGGAGAGCGTCGGACCCGCACCGAGATATCGACTCCAACTCGATATTCCGTTGTCAGGATCCATTTTATATCTTCCGGCAATTAGAGGGCATCGGGGTTAATGCATATTTCACTATTCGTTGCATTCACGGATGTCTTGAAGAAAAATGTCTGCGATCGATAACTTTAATGATGCAAAATTTTCAATTATTATTTTATTATTACTCCATGAGAATACTTGTGTTTCTTGCGGCATTTGAGTGAGTTTGTTTATAATCCGATAAAATTCTCGATAATATTTTCGGCAATCCCATCGGAATAGAAACTCGCTCACTAAGCGATCTCTCTCTCTCTCTCTCTCTCTCTCTCTCTGATGCAGTCCCACCTTGCCATGCGTATTTTCCGGTTCCTCGTACCTTAGAGACATCTGATACGAAAAGTACTTAAACTCGTAAAGTTTTTCAGAGTGTCGAGAGTTAACGTAAATCTTGCCTTACGGAAAGCAGGTTGACGGTACGAAACTTTGACTCGGAATATCTATCTATTTCACGGCCTCGTAAACAACTTCGTGTGTCATTATGAGTTTTGCCGTAACGATGAATATCCGTGACGATAAGGAACTTTATGAAACTAGGAAAGGGAGAAGAGCTTGTACGCGAAATGCTTGTACGCGATGCATTTCGGCTAAAGATTAAAATGAGATTTATGTAAGCTGCTTCTTTGAAGCATTAAAATCATTTATCTGAAATAGATAACCGCGCGCAGGCTATCATTCTTATTGTTGGTTTCGAAAAGATTATCAAACATTTGTAGCAAGAGGCCACTTCGGTCATCCATCAAGCGCTAAATTTGCCTCACTTCTACACGCATCTCCTGCGAGAAATGCAATATGTATGCTTTCGAATTTCCCCTTACTATTTCATTATGAGATATTAAGTACACAGCTGCTATTATTTCAGCAATGTAATATATAAATAGGAGAGAATTGTGTGGGAGAGCGTCGCAAGAATTATATTCTCTACGAGCATTATTTTCTATTATACATATAGATCGATTTAAGCTTCCTCCGTTACTCCTTTTGTACTTTCTATTAAACCGACGAGGCTTCTCTACATTTTGCGCACATCATGAAATTGAGTTTCAAAGTGCTTATATTGTACCAAAGTACAGTTGTACGCAATTTTGGAATGAGAAATGTTATATTTGAATTCCATGAAAATGATTGAAAGTGTATGAATATTTCAATAGAATTGTGCAGCACGGGGGGGTACACAACTAGCAAAGTGTATAATGTTTTGACGGTCCTTCCATTGAATATAAGCATTGCAATTCGGCTGATCCGAATTTCAAAACGAATTTTGGTAATGCATTATCCACGTAATACGCTCACGCGGACGTTATCTGCAAAGTATGGTGGGCTGCCGAAATATTGCAAGTTCAAACACGAGAGCGTTACACGAAACAGTATATATCCTGTTTCAACCACTGCATTGTCTGGGTCCACAAGCCATATGCACTAGCGCAAACAAACGCATCGCAACCGGGCTCAATCGCTCCAATTGCCTTAATTTGCACCGAGGCGGACAGATTGATAATGAATCGCAAGCGTCATTACGCAATTAATTTACGAAATTCAATTGCATCCGCGTGGGAATAACAATGATGCGAAATCGCAGCCTGAATTTTCGTCG